AAGAGCAAGGAGCTACACGGCAGGTTCCATCGAGCCTTAACTGGGCCTGATGTGGACCAATTATCTTCCGTGGCTTGGCTGCGCTTCAGCAACCTCTTTGGGGAAACTGAAGGTTTTGTCTTTGCAACTATGGACGAAGTCATCGTAACGAACAACTACCGAAAACATATCCTAAAGGATGGTACGATTGACATTTGTCGGGCATGTCGTCGTCCCGGTGAGTCCATTAGGCATATCGTTTCCGGCTGTTCTCGGCTTGCGGACGGTGCATACTTGCATAGGCACAACCAAGTGGCCAAGATCATCCACCAGCAACTTGCCCTTAAATATGCCTTTGTGGATGCTGAGGTACCGTATTACCAGTACCAACCTTCACCCGTTCTGGAAAATAGCGATATCACGCTCTACTGGGATCGATCTATTATTACGGATAGGACTATTGCTGCCAATAGGCCCGATATAGTAATAATAGACCGGTCTGAGAGTTGTGTAATGTTAGTCGATGTCACTATTCCACATGTCGAGAATCTCGTGAAAGCTGAAAAGGAAAAAGTGTTAAAATACCTATATTTGGCTCACGAGGTTACCGCCATGTGGCGTATGAAATCGACTACCATTATTCCGATAGTCGTATCGGTAAATGGACTGATAGCGAAGAGCTTCGACCAACATCTCAAGAAGCTCTCGCTAAACAGTTGGATTAAGGGCCCGGTACAAAAGGCAGTTATCCTAGAAACCGCGCGCATCGTGAGAAGGTTCCTGTCTCTGCAGCCCTGACCACTGGTTGTTTGAGTCATGGGATTCCGCTGCCGGTGGTGTTCTCTTTTTAATATAATATGTTTTGTATATATATATTTATATGAAATGTATTATATTAGAAATGTGATAAATAAATGTATATGCTATAAATAATAATAAATCTTTAATTCAGACACATGGTCCATACAAAACAAAAATACAAATTAAACACACTAGCACAAAAATAAAATAAAACAAAATTCTTTAGGGCACATGTAGACGTGTCCACATAGCCAGCACTGGACAGTCCAATCCCACTCTATCAACAATGAGTTGCAGGTAGCTGTTGGTGCTGTCCCGCACCCGCCGCATCAGGGATGCTGCTCTCTTCCTGATCAATGCGGAGAAGCCGTCAACACCAGCATCAGCAAACATCCCAGACGCGCTGCAGAAGCGCGGCAGCCCCAACAGAGCCCTGAACCCATTGTTGTACTGAACCCGCAAGGCATTGTAAGCCCTTTGCGAACGCTTGAACCATAGGCTGCACGTATAAAGGGACTGACAGTAGGCTTTAAAAAGTGTAATTTTCACGGGTGTGGTATGGAGATCAACTTACGAAGACCGCTCAACGATGGGCTCAGCAGTACCATATCATCGGCGTAGGTTATATTATTTATCATGGTGCCATCTATGGAACAGCCTATACCAGTACCGCTGAGCTCACAGATCAGTCCATCCATATAAAGGTTAAAAAGTCTGGGTGATGTCATCCGATACCGCCCCATCCCACTTAACATAATTGGTTTGATTCGAATACCAGCACTTTAATAGAGATACGAGCTAGCAAGGAAGGTCTGTGTCGTCAGACAGTTTCTGCCACAATTTATTATATTGGACCATATCAAATGCCTTTGATAGGTCTAGGAAACAGGCATATACGGGAGTATTTCTATCAGTGTAGTACTGGACAGTATCATTGAGTGTTAAAATTGCTGTTTCAGTGGACAACCCAGGTTGGAAACCAAACTGAGCGTCGTGTAGCCTAATATGTTTCGATAGTTGTTCATCAAGCACCCTGTCCAGCACCTTCGCTATGACTGTAGCGAGTGATATAGGTCGATAGTTACTCATTTTAGAGATATCACCCGTTTTGTTTTTACTGATAGGGACCACCACAGTACTCATCAACCCCGCAGGCAGGTACTCATGAC